ACAGGTCTAGTCGTGAAGATGAAGGACTCAGGCAGCACAATCGGTAAAATCCAAGGCGCCATGAGGGGAAAACAGCGACGAGATCAACAGGTAAATGCAACTTGAAACAATCTGGGAAACCACAGAGCCTAATCTCAGAGAGGCACAGAGTACCATAAAAAGGAAACACTCAGGCGCTGAAGTGCTGGCAACTCACTCTTCTTATATTCCAAGTTGATGAAGCAGATCTTTGCGAGTCCATGGAATCCAAACACCTGGACCGCCCTCCAGGTGAACAATCTCCTGGCTCTATCTGGTGGTAGACTATGAGAAGACAGCAGACAGAAAATAACTCCCCACAAAGGCCAAAACCCCAGTTCCCAAGTGTTTTATGCTCAAATTACTCTTTAAAACTAAGTTTTTATGCAGAGCATAAGCGAGTTTCATTGAATTTACATAAGATATGTTCAAACAGAATCTCAGAATCTCGGTTCTCCTGGAAAGAATGGCAATACATTAAAAAAATTATTTTAAAATATAGTTCAATAAGTCTGCTCTTAGAAGTACATGTTGTTCAAACCATACTTCCAATAATTGTAAATGAATAAATGTGACTAATTGTCGCTCACATGTAGCGACAAATATTATAAAGCTTTCATTCATAAACGAAATTTCCTACTGTGATGACCGCGCTGGTTTAGCTCAGTGGTTACTTCGTTCAACTCTTCTAAACAGAAATGTTGTCCCTCCCCTAACCGGGATCAAACCACGGGCGCTGTCCAGCCTTTTGAACTTCTTTATTCCAGCCGATATGTTTCGAAACTATAACAAAATCATAAATGTTTATTTCAATAAATGCACTTATTAAGTTGTTTATTTTAACTGCCTCAAATATTTGCTGAAGAAGTAAAACCAGCTTGTCCGTGGAGGGTTCAATGTCAATTTCTTCTAGTGGTAAACAGGGCTAGAATGTGGGAACAACTGTTGGAAGCATCTTTATTGATATTTTTACTAGCATTTTCTTGTGTTGTAGGCTTATTCAGTAATGTAAATAGCAATTTTGGCGAAAAGTTACCAAAATAAGTTTCTTTATATCTGAGCTCAACAGTGACTCCTCGAGGCTTTGACGATTTTATTTGACATGCGTCATGTTAGCTGTTATTACCTTGAACTTCCGCCGTATGTCTTCACACTTTTCCATTTTACTATTACAAATATATCTTTTCATAATGTATAATAGCTTTTATAATGTTAAATCAGGGGCTAATCAACTTCAAAATTTTTTAAAACAATTCCTGACTATTTCATGTCTCGAAACACCAATCAGAAACCGACCATTGTGCTTTATTTTGATAAGCAAAAATCTACTTTTTATCACCGGACATAAAATTTGGGAAATTTTTCACCCAAAAAAGTATCAGAACGCAACTGCTATTTACTGGCGGGATTCTTATGCATTGATGTACCTCCTTTCGACGAGTTGGATGACACCAGATGTCATCCCGTATTTGTTAAATTAATCTGGAACTTTCTTGTCGCGCATGCGTGCCTCCAATGACGGAACTGTGTTGACAAATTTCGCAGGAGGGTCTACGGCAGCGTAAGTACGCCTTGTGCAGTCTGTCTTACAATCGCCACATTTAGCAACGTCTTCATAATTTAGACCAAATGTTGTTTATTGTGGTTAGCAATGCCGCCCAGCAAAGCAAAGGGAAGCTAACGTTCTTTCTGAAACATCTGGGAAAAAAATCCTCTGGGCCAAGTAGTTAAGTGTGAACTATGTCTCGGTTCTCCTCGGTGAAACCTTTTACTTCCTGTGAAACGTCCAAATTAAAACTTTAGCTTAGTCACATCGAACAAAACTTTGTGAAGTCAGTAAAATAAATAAACGAAGCAGCTCGCTTATTCTGATACGTAGCACAAACTAAAACCCATTTATTTTAATATCTTATATTCGTCGCATCTCTGACGCATCCGCATTTATAATCTAGCATTAAATGTAACTCCTTGCTTTATTTTGAAAGCCCAGTCGTTGTGTTTCCGTCATCTCCCATGGAAACGGTCGCTGCGGCTTGCCTATCGTTTCCAGCCATAGCTAACGCTAACAGTCGTTTCAGGTTCAGTCTCCCGGAGATGAGCCATTATCCTGGTCATCAGTGTTCCAAGTTTTAAAGGAAGTTCCTCTATGGTTTTGTTAATCGTCATTTGATCACTACAGCCTGGCTGTCGGAGCGAGTGAGACGGTCTGCCCGTCCAAAACCCTCGGCTGAAATGAAGAGGTGAGTGGGATGGTAGTCCATTCGTACTGTTTTGTACCACATAACAATAACAAAAGAAGTGAACAGTCTAACATTTTAAATATAGTTTTACTTAATATAGCCACAAAATAACCTTCGTTCTTGTGTTTTTGGGGTGTGCAGCCAACAGAAGAGCCCGGAGCCCGAGGGGAGCGTCACTGTTAACGAGGAAGGTAAATTCAGACTTTCTGAGACACCTTCACTTTTTATAGAAGTAATAACATTAACGTATGTATAGTGGTTGTTAGATCAATTGCCTTTAATGTGAGGGGATACATTAGACATGTACTTGTGTTTTGATTAGTCAACATGCACTGTTTACTGCTTTGTGCTATATTCCAATTGTCATCAGAACATTTCCCTTTAGTCTTTCTAGACTATTCATGACCAAAACAACTGGCAGTGACAAATGTGGAATAGCGTTTTTTCCCTATAAAGGTACTAAATCCATATACATTTTAAGTAGTTTATTACCTTAAAAAAATGAATTCTCACAGTATTTTCTACTGCCCTGATGCAAAAATACAGCTCCAGGGCAGTACTGAAGAAAAAACATGTCTTCAGTACAGACATTTTTTTGTTGTTGTTGCTGATAGAAATTACACTGCTTCAGTTTGTATAGTGACATATGAAGTTCTCTAAAATCCTACTTAAAACCTAACTGTTGGATTCAGATGTGAGTTGCCAGTGCAGAGCTTACTCAAGAACAGCAGCAGGCAGGTTTCTGTGTTTCAACACACACAAACAGACAGTGAGAAGGGGACTTATGCAGTGACAGGACAGACAGAAAGTCTGCAGGATGTATGTGGACTGAACGATGTGGAGAGAGGTACAAAACAGTGTTACCAGCAGAGGAGAGTAAAGAGCACAACAAAAACTCTGTACAAAGCCAGCGAGAATGGAAAAATAGTTCCTTTGCTCCAAGAACAACATTCTTACTGTGAAATAAGAATGTTACTTCTTACTTTTGCTCAGTAATATATCTCACAAGAACGAAGGTGCAGATCCCCCAGGTAGTCTTCATATGTCTCTGCCACTGCAGCACCTCTACTTCATGTTTCACGAACACAAGAAAAGAATATGTGTCAACAACAAACTACAAGATCTCCCAAACCAGGGCTTAAAAAACACAATGATGGCATTTTGTTCTTGCATCCCTGAGAGAAAATAGAGAGAGAACCCATTTTTCTGTTCTTGAGGGTGTATGCACAATTATGCACAATTATTTGGAAATGATTATTTTGCCAACTACAGTGCTCTCACACAGTGTTCGTCCACCTCAAACATGAATACTTAAAGTATACTTAGGACAATATGGATTCTGTGCAGAATTATTACGCAACAGAATGAAAACACATTTTCTCATCTTCTTTTTCCTCCGTCGTCTTAACCCTTTAATTGGTGGGATGTTTAGGCTCTGTAGCTACAGCAGAAGATCCAGCCGCCATCGCTGCCATCCAGTCTGCCGCCACCTTCACAGACCCACAGATCAAGTATCAAGTCTTCAAGACAGAAGGAGCTGGTGGGCAGGTACGATGGAGTCGGGAATATTTGTTGGAAAGTAACACCTTTCACATAATACTTACTCACTTATATTTGCAGGCCATTTCATGACCTCACCTGACATGTTGGATAAGTGTGGCTGATGTGTGTAGCTGGACATTCATAATGTGAAGCGGTAGTAAAGAGAGCGTGGGCTCTGATGGCTCCCCGTTGGGTTGCAGGTGACCTACAGGGTGATCCAGGTGTCAGATGGGCAGCTGGAGGCCCAGACAGACGGAGCCGCTGTCAGTCTGGTCGCTGGTTTCCCAGCAACCACGCAGACTGTCACACAGGTGGGAATAGCGCCCTCTGGCTGTAGAGCAATATCAGCAGCACATACAGTTTCCCGCTTATTGAGCAATAAATTAACACCCTAAAATATACACTAGTTGTAAAAACTAAACAAATTCAGGTGTAAATTTTTTGCATCTTCACTGGTATGAAGATGTGCATCGTCCATTCAGTGACCGCTGGTCTTTAATATGTGGTTTTAGGCAGTCATCTCTCAGCCAGAAGGGCTGGAAGGAGATGGCAGCGCTGAGGCCCAGTACGCTTATTACCCGGCCACCATTGCAGAAGCCACTGCTGGCACCATGGTAACTACAGTGCAAGCTACTGACACTCTGCTGGGCCAGACCACCCCAGCAGGTAAGCTGTGCACAATTAAAGTGGCAGTATTATGTAAAATCAACTTTTTTGAGCTGTACATCGTGTTATAATGTTATTCCCTCATCAAAAACATACCTGAAGTGTTGCTTTGATTCTTTCATGCATGTTTGAGAAATCCTTTAACCTGTCATTCACTAGAGGACCCAAATTTGGGTCCTCTAGTGACAGGGGTGTCAAACTCCAGTCCTCAAGGGCCTCTGTCCTGCAACTTTTAGATGTGCCTCTGCTGCACCACACCTGAAAAGAATAATTAGGTCATTAGCAAGGCTCAGGAGAACCGATCTACACAGGGAGGAGGTAATTAAGCCATTTCATTCCACTGTTTTTTACCTGTGGCACATCTAAACACTGCAGGACAGCGGCCCTTGAGGACTGGAGTTGGACACCCCTGTCATTGTGAATGACAGCCTGTGAATGACAGGTTAATCTCCCATTCAGCCTTGCTAAACGCCTGGGTGGATCTAGCTCCGCCTTCAAGATGCAACTCTTCCTCAGAGCTGCAGTTTCCAAGCAGCTCTGAGAGGGAGCAGCCCTCCCCTGTAAATCCCCCACTCTGCTCCTTCAGACTAGCCAGCAGCAATTGGCAAACACCTGAGAACACACCTGAGTTCATTATAGGAGCTACTTCTCTGCGCAAAGCTGGGAAAAACGTTGTATAGAGGTTAATAGAGGAGCCATGTTGAGACGACTTTCAGAAGGCAGAGTTTCATGAGGAAGAGTTTTTAAAGAGACAGAGGCCCAATTTTAAGGCCTTAAATTACAACGTCAACTTCTTTAAAATCATATTTGATTTTTATAACAACTGAATATAACTGAATATTGATTGTGCTGTAAAATGGCACTATGTGCCTGGAAAACACATGATACTGCCTCCTTAAACACTGAGTCCAAAGCTGTGGAAAGAGGATGAAAAATTAGCAGTAGCATAAGAGATGTCGCTTTCTGCAGTTGACTGTAAGGTTTATTTCAAAGGTCAGCTTTATGTGATGATGTCACCCCAAGAAGTTTTAACCGGATCCAGTCAGAGGACGATAGCACCGCGCACCCAGCCATACGTAGCGTGAGTACATCCAGACTCATCAGAATGCTGCTTGGTTCAAATCAGTAAGCCTCAGTTCATAAATGTCTTCTCTACTCCCCAAAATAAAGCATCTAAATCTATTTATTGTTTGCGTAGAAAGCAGGAAGCTCCTCGGGGCTCCAGGGATGAAAAACGGCGAGCGCAGCACAACGAAGGTTGGCATGCATGCTTAACGCGCTCTGATTTTGTTGGGTTTTCATCTAGTTGTTGGTCAGAGATGCAGCTTTTTAGTGGCTATTATTTCTTTAATTCCAGTTTTTGCAAACCTCTGTCCTGCAGATGCTAACTTCAGCTGATTCCAAGTTCACTTTAAGAACAATAAGAACAGAGTTTTCTCTATCTTTCCAGCTGTGACAAGCAGTGAAATACTCATATTAGGCTCTGAGGCATTCATTGTAAAACAGGGTTTTACTAACAGTTTGATATTATCAGCTCTATTTTCCGCGGGGTATTTTTTAAAACAGCTTTCTAAGAAATCTCCGTTTTCAAAAATAATATTCCAACAGTCGAGCGGAGGCGCAGGGACAAGATCAACAACTGGATTGTTCAGCTGTCAAAGACCATCCCAGAGTGTAACATCGACTACACCAAGACAGGCCAGGTAACTTTTGACCCCGGGCAAAATTGACCAACTACCGTTTGGTCTGCCTCGACCTTTTACATCATTTCTGGGCATTTTTCCAGAGTAAAGGGGGGATCTTGTCAAAAGCCTGCGATTACATCAAAGAGCTGAGACAAAGCAACATGAAGCTGGGAGAAGATATCAGCGTTCTGGAACGACTGCGGGTCGACAACCAACTACTAAGACAGGAAGTACGTCGGTGTGCGGTGTGTGTAACATTAACATGTGTCTTCTAATCATGCCGTTTGGACGCGATTCAACAGCATGATTAGGAGAAAAAAAATGTGAATGTATAGAAAGGGTTGTTATGTTCAGATTAGAAGGCAATTTAAATCCAGTACTTTATTGTATTGTGGACAGACATCCCATCTTTGGCAAGATGGAAAAGTGGTTCTTAGGAATTTTGTGTGCAATTATGGAAGTCTCCAAACTATGACGATGTGTTAGGGCCATTGTAGACGGCAAAAATATGGAGTAGATTTCTGAGAAAACAACCTCAGAATTTCAGTTTTTTTCTCAGAAATTTACTCCTCCCTTTTTCTTTTTTCTTTTTTTTTTTATCTACAATGCCCCTAATACGGCGTCGTACAAAACATTCCTGAAAAAATTTGATCAGTATTTGATTCTGACTGCATTACTTTGAACTCTGGTGAACTCTTGTGGCCAATCACAACTACATGCAGTCCAAATAGAATAGAAATAACTTTTTCTGTAGGGAAATTCAGCAACAAAGTGATACGTAAGTTGAAACAAGTAAATTTATGCAAAAAATACAAAAATCGAAGCAATAAGGGTGGAATTTAGAGTGTAGAAAAATACTGTAAAGTTACTGAAAAATAACATACTGCATAAAAAAAACTGAAAAAAGGTACATGTATTATTTGTGCATAAAAAAACATCAACTAACAAGAGGGATGTAAACACGTATTCCTTCTGACTCCCACCACCTCCACCAGGTCAAGAGGTCATCCTAAGATGGAACTTATCCCTTCTGCTTACGTCATTAAAGTCTTTTACCTCAAATTCTAGCTTATAGTCGGCGTGTTTCTAATACTATCTTAAGAAATTAGATAATTTATTCGTGTGTTTTCATAGGTGGAAAACTGGGAATCCAAGAATCAGATCCTGAGGAACCTTTTGCGACAGCATGGCATTGTTGGGTCATCGAGCTCGGATCCTCAGTGAAGCCTGTTGCCAGTGAAGTATTTGAAGATGAATACTAATGGGCCAAAAGAGTACTTGAAATGCTTAGAAAATATGTATCTTGTCATTGAGCATGCACAATATGGGTTAATTATTAGAATATTGTTTTGAATATTCACATCCACCCTTTGTGAAATTTTCCAGATTTTTTTAAGCTCTTAACAATTATGTAATTTACCTAGGAATTATAACATTATTTTTTAACTTAATGGACCTGCAGCGTGTTTTTTTTTTTTTTTTATCAGATTCAGGAAAGCTCTTCTTGATGCCTTTTACTATGAGCATGTATGAACGATCATTCAACTCCAGTACAGGAAGCTCTTATGCTTAAACTCTGTTGTACTTAGTATAAACGGCACTCATTTTAATGTCTCTAGACATTACATTCTTGTGTTGATGTCTGTTATCATTGTCACTTTAAGCAGTCTATACCAAGTTTATCATCCAGATTAAAGTCTGGGTTTGCTTTTGTTTCTCTGCTTGTTGGGGACTGTGGTTACATTGCAACAATGTAACCACTAAGTAAAGAATGAAATGGGTTTAGGAAGTCAAACATTGGATGATAACTGTCTGTCTTTATAATAAAAATGTAAATAGTAAAATGCTGTTTGTTTGTTTTTTTAAATTTATCTATGAATTTGTTAGCTTGAGTTGTAAACGGTGGTGTTTTAATTTGAAGGGTCCACCTGGAAGTGTACTCTCTCTGTAAGGTTAGAGTTTTGACGATCCTCGGTGGAATCTGCATTTTTAAAGCCTCACCAGAACGACCCGACCTGCATCCATGATCTGCATCCTGCTAGTAGCCGGCCACGGCACTGTCCTACAGACACAGATTAAGGTAAACTACCTCTGTGGTTTGTTGCAGAACAAGCAGTGCAAAGTTCACGTCCTTCACGAAAGTGCGACCACTCTGCGAAGAACCGCGTTACAGAAAGTGACGTTTAAACATCACCTACCGCCCTGGCTCCTATCGGTGTCTATTGATTCGTTCTTTTCGATACTTACACGTTCGTACCCTCACAGCGGGACGTTCGGGTCTAAGTGATTTGGGAGTTGTGTAAGTTCTAGGAAGTGAAGCCATGTCCAGCGTCCCCTCTCTGCACTGCGCCGTTCTGCAGATCTCCGTAACAATGTAACGGGTGCAGGTCTTTTAAAAGTCGTAGTTCCGTTCGAGGAACAGCGTTTGTTACCTTTTCATTGTGCCGAATTTATGAGCTCAACCTCTCATTGAAATTAATAACAAGAACAATGTGACAGAAGTGTTGCTTTACCAAAGTAAATGGTACAAACATAAAATGGGCCAGCTGAATTAGGGGATTTGGCACGGAGATGGGGCAGCACTTCTGAGTGACAGTACTTGTGCGAATTTAAACCAAGCTCCTCTGTGGCTTATGGAGAAAATCACACCGTAGGCAGTCAAAAGTGTTATTTATTCCCTTTATTATTCCTCTTTTGCACGTTGCCTGGGTTTTCTGTGTCAAACCTAAACCACTCAACTTTGATTGGCTTCTTGAAAAGTCTAAATTCTTACCACTGCTGGAGGCTGACCCATCAACCGGTCCAATAAGATACAGTCAATCACAACATCACGAGTAGATAAATAATAAAAAGAAGATAAAATAATTTTTGGGGGGAAAAATAATAATAATAATGAGACAATTATGAAATTGGCAGAAAATACCAAAAACTAATAATATAAATAAAATACTAATTTCATCTGCAGCGATTTTCTTCTCCCCTGTTCCTTTTCTCTTTAATTGGTGTTGAAGGTCGGGGAGAATAAATGTGTTTTCAGTCTGGATTTAAACTGATCTACTAACTGAGAAAGCTTCACAGACTGGTTCCACAGAGAAGGCTCTGTCCTCTCTGGTCTTTAACCTGGCTTTAGGGACAGCCAGTCAAAGCTGGTCAGTTGACCTCAGGGCTCTGGATGGAGTATAGGGCTGCAAGAGTAGGACTCATAGAGTTTAGGCACTTAAAAACAATCAATAAACCTTATATTTTACCCAAAAAACAACAGGGAGCCAGTGAAGGGTGCATAAAACAGGGGTAATAGAGTCACGTCTGTTTGTTTTGGTCAGCAAGACGGTTGCAGCATGTTCTCCAGTTGCTCCAGGGAGTTCTGGTCCAACCCTAAATACAAAGAATTACAATAATCTAAACGCAGTGTATTTACACAAAATCACAAATGGGTGCATATTAGACACCCCTGTTCTAGTTTTTAAGCCTACAACTATTTTCGAATTGAAATGTTGATTCAAAATTGTTTTTAATTTCCTATGTCACTATTTTCTGATTGAACCAAAGCAATGGGAACCAGAACAAATAAAGAGTATTTGATGCCTGAATGGATTTATTCAAAAATAAAACCACAGTGAAGCAAAACCTGGACCATGAATGAGCTGGAAAGAAGACGAGATTGAGAGTAAAGCTTTGGGGAATCTTTGTTTCTTTGCCCAGAATGACGACACAGGTTTATACAGCCATCTGACCGGTGTACCCAAGGCTTTGCTTCCTGGGACTGGAGGGAAGAAGATTCTTGACTTCTGGTGGGAAACTGTCAACGTGTAAGTTTGACCGACACCAAACATGAATTGTTCTAACACTATCAGATGTGGAATGTCCCAGTTAAGAGTTCACAACCTTCTGTTGTCACCTGTTGCTTCTTTCTAGGCGGCAGCTCTTCACGGAGGTCTACCTGGTCACCAACGCAGACAAGTGAGTCGCAGAACCAAGCTGCTGTTGATCTGGACTTACTGCCTGAGTTTGCTGCTGCAAATCCTTTACCTCTCCTTTGATCAGGTACAAGCATTACGAGCGCTGGGCCACAGCTAACGACTTCCCGGTGGAGAACATAGTGAACGATGGCAGCACGACCCTGAAGGACCAGCTTGGGGCCGTGGCTGACCTGGAGCTCGTCATAAGGAGTCGCAAGCTGGATGATGACGTTGTTGTGGTACGAGGCAGACAGAATGTCGGTCATTCGGGTAGCACGGCGATGAACATTCAGCCTTTTCTTTCTCTGTGTTTGAGCAGATTGCTGGAGACATGCTGTGTGCTGATCAGAACTTTGATATCGCTCAAGTTATCCGCTTCTTCAGGTCCAAGGTGAGCTTCTATGAAGTGACTGGATATAAGAATAATTATGCTCTGCCTCAAATGAGCAGCTGCTCTCAAACCTGACAAGTTTAAACTTATGCTGCGTCCCAGTTACCGGGGAAGTCGGAACTCAGAGCTGGGTTTGACGTCAGTTCAACAGCGTTTAAGTTAAGAAGTCAGAATTGTCAAGTTGAATCAGACTATAATAGATTAATTTTGTAACTGTCCTCTTTCTTCTGGGATTTGGAGGGACATGAAGAAACATATGAAGGACAAAATTAAATATAATATACCGTCAGTTATCAGCTATGAAATAAAACGGTTCTGAAAGTTGTTGGAAAGTAATATTATGTTGTTTAGATCGTTTTTACGTTACATAAGTCGAATCTGTTTAGCTATATTGTGTCTTTCTGTGAACATGTTGTTGTACAGATAAAAAAAAAATACTAGTATATATAACAAATGGGGGTTATTCTGAGACTTAAGTGTGTGACATAAGCTGTACCTTTGTATTAAAGGATCTAAAACTGTTTATTACAGGAATAAGTATATTGTCTAGAATGACAATGAAAATAACATGCACACAATGATTATTTTGAAGAAAGCTCAGATCTGGTGCTGTTTGGAAATGTTTAATAAATGTTTAAACAGAACAGATTCCAGGAGGATTAGTGAAGAACAGATTTGTTTCTGCCTCATCACTCCTACCTGCTCTATACTTTTTACAGGAAAATCAGCATCTGTTACACTGACACCAGTCCTGATGTGTGTAACACATGCTACAGTCACAATCTTTAATATGTTCTGTGGAGATATTGCCATCAGGGCTGCTGGCCCAAGCCTCCATGGAGACAAAGCGGAATTTTATTTTGGGGCCCTCTATATCTGCTATTAACGTGGATTGCTGCAAATCAACAGACGATTAGATCATTCGAACAACTGCTATAAACTCATTGCATCTCTGAATAGTGCTGTTTATGTTATGTCTTATATGCATATCATCTAGTGGTGGCAAAATCAACAAAAAAACTAGTATGCTCTGGACGTAAGATGGAGTACATGAACACATATTCATGATATGCTTTGATTTAAACTAATTTATCTTTGGTGTAATTCCAGTACCGAAAAGTTTATTTTATACCAGATGAGTCTCTCTCACCTGAGAATGTGAACCTGTACTGGGCTGATTCTGTGCCTTCAAATAATTTTAACAATGCTCCTGTAGAAGATTCATAACTTATAACTTATAAGTCTGAAACAGGAACAGGTCTGAATAAACAGTCTGTGTGCTACATTCAAGAGAGCGATTAATTTGATGCATCAAAGAGTGATGTCATCACTGCTCATGTCATTGTTACCATAAGAACTGAACATTCTAATGGTGCATTCACACCAAACACGTTTTGAGCGTCAGGTGAGTCTGGTTTATATTCAAAGTCTATGTGGAGAGTTGGATGCGCTAGATGTGTCAAACACTCCAAAAGGTTCAAGTTGCACCGTGCTAGATGCTCGAAGCGCGCCGCAATGGCCCTCGACGCGCCTCCACATAGACTTTGAATGCAAACCAGATGCACCTGATGCTCGAAACGTGTTTGGTGTGAACGCACCACTACATGTCCAGTGTCACATTAGGTCCATCATATTAGGACCAAAGCCCGGTCCTAATATGATGGACTTTGGGTCAGGGTTAATGTTTAGAGGTAAGGTGCAAATTAAGTTTTAGTTAATGTTAGGGTTAGGAATAGACTAGTATTGGTTAGGGTTAGGCAAAATGTGTGGGTTAGGCAAAATCGCAACCACTAAAATTTTAATACAAGTGACATACTGCAGCTTTAATTTCAGTAAGGAGAGGGCAGGTCAGGAGGGACATGGGTAAGAGCTGCTGCTGACTTACTCATCTGTTAAGTGGTAAAAGGTACAAGGGACAAGTTAAATATATGAATATGTTGGTAATTTTTTTTCCTTAATTCATTAAATGCTAGTGAAATGGAGGTAATCAGTAGTCTGTAGCTAAGCTAACTATGCTAAATGGTTGTTAATCTTACACAGTCTACCCACCTCTCGGAGAAAAACTGAGCTATAAATTGAGACTCTTGCCTTTTTCTCTCTATTTTTTTTTTTTTTTTTGCAAACTTGACTTTATTACTTTTCTTAGCAGCATAGTAACTGCCACAGTTGTTCGTGTTTTCCACTATCTGCAGTGGAACAGCATCACGGTGAAGCGCTCCAAGCAGGAACAACCATTTCATGCAGGGGAAGCGGGGGTTCAGGGCATATATGGATGTGTGTTTTTTGATCTGGGAGAGGGAACATTAAATTTTTACTGCTAAAAACAATCTTTGAAAATACAATATGATTAATTTTGTAATTGACAGGGCCCCAATTTTTTTTTCAATTTCTATGAACAATAAATAAATAAATTAAATGTGGAGGGCACCCTGTTGGTCAGGGCCCCTAGAATTGTCATCACTATTCCCCCTATACTGTGCCCGGGGTGATGACATCACTGCTGATGTCATTGACACCATTGGAACTGAACATTATGACCTCATATACTGGTGCTGAGCAGGCAATTAAAAACTACAGTGATGGTGAAACATTGAGTTACTACAGAAGGCTGATCTGGCATTTAGAAATATAGAAATGGCACCTTGACGGAATACTTAATACAGACAATATGGCAGATCAGCAAAAGAAGTAAGTACCAAATGACTCATGAAACTTGATACCTCTTAACTGACAATTACAATGGACTGTTGAAATGAGAGCATCACATACCCTACATAATAAAAGCCTTCATATTTTTTCACAAGTAATTGCTGTTTTGGGCATTATATGACTGGTTTAACCCAACCACTATTACACATGGGATTATTGTGCCCCTTTAAAATGAAGTTTACTGAAAATTTCAAAATAAAAGCCTCAATATTCCTCTCAAGTTAATGCACTGTCTTAGGCAGTGCACTAATATTAGTCTTTTCCATAAAATAAAAATCTCCCAGGCTGGTGCACTGCCTTGCGCAATATTCCTCCACTAGAGTGAGAAACGGAGTGGATTTCTGACCCCAAAACAGTTTTTAACTCGCCCTCACGCCCACAAATATCGCTCTGTTGGTATGAAAGTCGGTCATGATGACACCATCTCTCTCTCTCATTGCTGCTTTTACTGTGAATGAGGTACAGATATGAATTGCGGTACTATCAAAGATGAGAAATAGCCCTCTCGCACCCTTCAAACAGTTTTCGAATACGTCTCACGGTTCCTGAATGGGAAGGAGTTGTTCGGACTGCTTTTTTCAGAGAAACTGACTGGGTGTCTCACAAAGATAGAATTCTTTCTCCACCTTTCTGTCTCACACACATGACAGTTGACTGAGGGCAGAGCTGCGCTTTAGAACTACAAAGATGGCTGAAGGTTAGAACTACATTAATGGCAGAACAATCAGTTACTAGAGAGGAGGGCTGGCAGTTTAGAACTACAATGATGGTGGAACTCTGAGTTACTACAGAAGGAGGCTGAGCAGAATGTTAGAACTGCAGACACGGCAGAATGTTTTGGGCATTATTTATAACTGATTTAACCCAACCACTGTTAGTGAGAGGATTAGTGTAAGAGCCAAAAATGTCAGTTTGTAACATTGTTTATTATTGTGTATGCTGTTTGCATATTTAGATATTTTAATAAGATTCCATTTCATTATGTTTTTTGCAGAAAAGCGCCACCTAATGGACGTAATTGAAATTGTGTGAAAAGTGCTGTGTCACTTTAGTTTATGAAAGGAAGTTGAATGTGGCGCATTCAACTGAGCTCTACACAGTTTTTGACCGTTAGGTTACTTTACATGTGGAATGCTGTGCAAGATTAAAGAATCATCTGTAACATCTGCTCAAAGAAAAGTAAAGTTCGTCAGACTTTGTATGGATGTTGTAAGTACTTCTTTAATTCACTGAAAGATGCACAAAGGCATATCGTGGGACAGAAACGCGTCAACTGAGAGCTAAGCTAATGAAGATCAACGAAAGAAAACGGAAGCTTGTTAAA